ATTACCGTATTCCTTCAAATGTTCAAGAACTTAAAAGTCGCCTTCAATATTTCTTCTGTTATCTTATCATATAATCCATCATAAATTCTTATCTCGAGGGGCAAATAGGTAACTTTGTCTCTTATTTAATTATACAAATTATAAATTTTGAGATTCCATATTCTTACAATTCTTACAATGGATAAATCCCATTTGTAATGCCCTGTAAGTCTAACAGATTCAGAAAATCAACCAAACGATTAAATTGTATTGGTTTTATGGAAGTATTCATATTGGAGTTTTTGTAAAACCACACTTTTCCAACAGCCTGGTGAATGAAGAAAAATTAACTGGATTTATATTTGTCTACTATTTAATTAAATGTTTCCACTTCTCATGTCTAGAAATAAAAGTAAAAAGCCCACTAATCATAGTGCACAGTGCTATAAAAAGTTGGCAATATGCTTAGTAGCCACAGAATAAAGTATGTGCTAATTATCCTGACCTCTCCCAGGAGAATCAACATGACTTCAACTGAGCTAACAAGAGGGGCAGCAAATAAACTTTTATTTTATCTGCACCCAGGCCAAATTTATTTGCAAAGTGCTTAAAATATCAATGGCTTGAACATGTAAAACCAAAGTTAACAGTTGCAAACTAAAAATCCTGTGTTTCTTTTTCAGTTCTCAAAATAAGTCAGGGACATGTATTAACCCTAGCATTTGAAGCCTTTTAGAAATTGTCAAGCTCTGCTTTGAAACCTAGTATTCCATGGAGTTAATTTAGAGTATCAAATAATAGGTCAGTAATATTTGTCCGCTATTTCTAAAGAGCAATTATATTTTGGAATTCAATATGCTCTAGGATTAAGAATCCTAACTGAAGCAATATAATAATAATGCTTAACAGATTGCCAATATCCCATAGATTTTTTTTAACCTCAGATTTCTTTGCAGTATAGAAGTTTTCATGATAAGTGCAGAATTATTGGAATATTGTTTATTGGCCAAGTGTGATTGCACAACAAGGAATTTGTCTCCGGTGCATAAATTCTCAGTGTACATACAAAAATAAAGTGATACATCATAGATTATAAATCATAAGATACAATCATAAATCATAAGGTATAAACAATGAGTGAGATCCGTGCCAGTCGGGCTTCAGGACGGGTTACAGCACAGAAACAGCATTGATCGCATTGGTTGATGATCTCTGGAGGGCTCGGGACAGGGGAAGCTCCTCAGTCCTGGTCCTCCTAGATCTCTCAGTGGCCCTTGATGTGATGTCCTGATGCCTGGAAACCGTGCGGATCGGGATGGGGAGGAACAGGCTGAGACTCAACCCCTCCAAGACTGAGTGGCTGTGGTTTCCGGAGCCCCGATATAGCCAGCTGGTACCATCGCTGGCTATTGGGGATGAGATCTTACCCCACTCAGAGAGGGCTCGCAACTTGGGCATCCTCCTGGATACGTGGCTGTCTTTAGAAGATCATATGACGGTCGTGGCCAGGGGGGCTTTTTATCAGGTTCGCCTGATTTCCCAGTTGCGTCCCTTTCTGCATCGGGATGCCTTACGCAAGGTCACTCACGCCCTTGTCACTTCTCATCTGGACTACTGTAACACTCTCTACATGGGGCTCCCCTTGAGGAGCACCCGGAGGCTCCAACTGGTCCAGAACGTGGCCACGTGAGTCGTTATGGGGGCAACCTGTCACTCCCATGTAACACCTCACTGGCTCCCAGTGGTCTTCCGGGTGCGTTTCAAGGTGCTAGTCACCATCTTCAAAGCGCTCCATAGCTTAGGACCGGGATACTTACAGGACCGCCTTCTGACACCGCATGCCTCCCACCGCCTGATTCGCTCCCACAGAGAGGGCCTCCTCAGGGTGCCGTCGGCCAAACAATGTCGGCTGGCAACCCCCAGGGGGAGAGCCTTCTCTGCGGGCGCTCCTGCCCTATGGAATGAGCTGCCCCCGGACATAAGGAGGATCCCTGACCTCTGCATCTTCCGTCATGCACTGAAGACTTTACTGTTTCAGCAAGCTAGGCTGACCGAATGAATTAACTTAAGTGAGCTTTAAATGGTTTTAAAAGAGGTTTTAGTTAGGGGTTTTAAATACGGCCAATGCTTTAAATTATTTTAAATTGTTTTTAATTTTTGTGTTGGTATTATTTTTATCATGGCTGTACACCGCCCTGAGTCCTTTGGGACAAGGACGATATAGAAATGTAATAAATAAATAAATAAATAAATAAATAAATAAATAAATAAATAAATAAATAAATAAACAAACTATAAGATATCAATAGGAGAAGGTAGTAGGAAAGATGAGAAGATGAGAAAGATGAGATGGATAATAGCAATACAGCCCTACTACATGGGTAAATTTCTTTAGGCATAAGACAGTGCTGTGGGAGTTAGATGTTCAGTAATGGTATTTCAAAGGAACCAAATTAATCTCCAAAACTGAACACTTCAACAAGAGAATAATTATGGAAACCATCGAAATAGAAAAACATCCCCATAACATGAATAAACGTGATGATACCTCCTGCCTACCAGAAACTAGCCCTTGTCAACAGACGAGTCCCAGCACCCACAGACAGAAAAATCTACACACCAGAGGCCAAACACACACCTCCTGAGACCCCACCCAAACCATACTCCAGCAAGCCACAAAGATGAAGCCCTGCCACCTGGTGGAGAACAGCCGACCATACACTCAAAGCCAAGCCAATAGACACAGACTGGGACTCCCAACCAATCAGGATGAAGAGGTGGGGCCATTCCAACAAAGCACACTGCCAGCACCAGATTTGAAACAGTAACGGCTGTTGCTGTTGAAGAACTCTTGCATAGGCCTGATGATGGCAGATGAGATTCTGCCGAAACATTGCCAAGATACTCTCAATCTTACACGGGAAAAGACCTGAATACACCAAGACTTGCATACCTGTACCCGTGAAAATCTACGAAAACAAATATATAGTGTGTGTATGTATGTATGTATGTATGTATGTATGTATGTATGTATGTATATATTAAGAAGACAGATTAGATAGATAGATAGATAGATGATATAGATATAGATATAGATATATACACTTTTTGTAACTGTGTGTTATATTTTTTTTAAATAAAAAAATGGAAGTGCAATATTATTCTCTCTACAGTGCTCTGTTATCAGGAAATCCAACTCTACAATGCCAGCAGGACAAAAAGTATGGACAGGGAGATATTTTGGTATCTCCTATTACTCCTTACCTTAAATTTTCATCAGACGGTGAATCATGGACATTGGAAGACTAGAAGGACTTTGGATTCACAAAGCTTCTCCCATCTGACCTGTTTCACATATCCAGTAGTCCCCTTTTTATATCTTTAATCCAATAACTAGGACAGGATAAAATACAGGTATTTCCACAGAGATGAGAAAACAATCAATATTAGGTTTCTCTCCTCAAGACAGAAGGTCTCAAAATTCAAAGCAAGACATGGGTCATTCTGAGATGCTTTCTCAACTGCTGGACTACAATGTAAAAATGTGTTCTTCACATGTAATTTCTATTTTATATTTAATATTGCTTAAATAAAAAATCCCGTTTCTATAAAATAAATTGTCAATATTTTCAGTAAAGTGTGTTAAAATGTTCATAGTTTAAAATACTTCTTCCCAAAATGTCATAGGGACTTTTGTATGTAAATTCCTATTGTATTAATCTCTACATTCTATTGACATGGTTAATTGGGATGAATATTTGAATTACATATAAATTATTTTCAATAATGAATATTTTTGTGCAGTAATTACATTTATTTGATAAAAGAATGCTAGAAGGTATTATTTCAACATCATATAAAAGGTTGGAATTATTTCAATTTCTGATATTATTTATTTATTTATTTATTGATCAAATTTCTATACCGCCCTACTCCCGGAGGACTCAGGGTGGTGAACAGCCAAGATAAAATACAGATAATACAAATATTAAAAGCCCCTTAAAATTATTAAATATTTTGGCCGAAACAAGATTAAAACACCCAATTTATAAAATCAAATGAGTTAAAAATTTAAAAGAGGAGAGTTAGGCCAGGCCAGCCTGCTGAAATAAAAAAGTTTTGAGAGCACGACGAAACGTGCGCAGATCCGGATATATAAGTTATATATTTCCATCGTTTTGTTTTAAAGTACTGTCTTTAAACATACCATCTTAAAAATAAACCCCAGAAGCAAGTTGTACCAAGGGAGAAAAGAGAAGGAAACTATAAATGGATTAAAACTGTCATTAAGTGGCTAAAAAATTCTTGCATCTTGAGACTATTAATGTAGAATGGATTTATAGATAAATGAAAACATGAATGTTCTTGAGGGCCCTTAAATCTGGCTTTGGATCAACTGACATACTATTATTCTGTTTTCATAGGAATATTCTTTATTCTACAAAGTCTTTCCATCATATGATTTAGATTATTATGTTTTGTCTTCAAATATTTGAATCGAAATTCTTTCTCAACTAGGCATAGATTTTTAAATATAGAACTGAAATGAAGATTGGGAAAGAGAGAAATGCACATTCCATGAAATAATCTGGGAGGAGCTGAGGAAAGTGATGGGCAGTTAGATGATAAATGGTTGGAGCCCAAGCTCACCCCCCTTTCCCTTTTGCTGTTTTATTCTGGACAACATGGACAGAAACTCACATCCTGCTCTTAATTTTGTTAGGCTTTTTGCAAATCACAGCCAGAACAGGCTATAAAGCAAAATTCCTAAAGGAGACAATATGCTGTTTCCATGGAGCTTGGAGATCCCCCCCCCCCCGCTCCACCAAATCCCAGAACACTTTAGCAATTAGTATGCACTGCAAAGAGTACACAAGTTACTGTTTCTCCCCACCTAAAGAGAGATATTGGATAGACTGATGCCATAAAAGCCTATGCTGTGAGCCTAGAAATATTTCTGTTTTATATTCTGCTAACTTGCTCCCTAATGAGCCTGAAAAGAAAGCAATTCTCAAGCTAATGGCTTGTTCTCCAGCAAGGTGGGCAACGCTCCAGAGACATTGCTTTTTCTTCATGAGGTTTCTTTGGCTAGGAGCAGTGAATCAGCAGAGAAGTGTGAGTAACAAGGGATGTTAGGGGAAGATGTTCTTTCCTTTGTCACGAGCAACGGAAGAGATGAATTGCTAAAAAGTTGTCTGCATGTCAGTTAGAGCTTCTAGGGAGTAATGCAAATAAGTGATCTCTGTTACACTCAGTGCACCATTATGTTGACCAGTCAAGGCCTGAACTTTAGTATAAATGTATCTTCTCAAGGAGAAAAGCATTGGTGGTAACATTGTTCTTATGCATCATTTAGCAGGTTAGGAGTACAGAAGGATGGAGAAAAGAAATGCTGACCTTTCTTCTTTTTTTTAAAGGAATTTTAAATATGAATCTTGATCTGCATCTGTGAAAGAATGTAGAGCTGATCTTGGAAAAGGAGAAGAAATGATCAAATGGAGTTTCAGAAAAGGTTATTCGGTCACACACAAAGTGTGTGAGAGTAAGTCAGAATAAATTCATTTTGATTTTGATTAGTAGTAGTAGTCAACCCGTGCCACATTGTGTCATTGTTTCAGAGATAGTTCATTACCCGAACAGAAAAGTAGAAATGATTATGGGTTAACAAAAAAGCAATGGAAGTAACTTCTGACTTCCTGCAGATTTCTGCATTCAGTTTTTTTGTGGGAAGCTGAAAGGGAAAAATTTCCTTCCTTCCTTCCTTCCTTCCTTCCTTCCTTCCTTCCTTCCTTCCTGTTCTTCTTCCTCTCTTTTCCTTCCCTTCTCTCCTGACTCCTTCTCACCTTCCTTGAAGACAAATGAAAAGAAATAAAATCTCATGGCAATAATTGAATGAGCTAAATACTAAGATTGTTGGAAGTAACAGGAAGTTGGTTTATTTGATCAAAGTTCAAATAAGATATGTTGTTACTTCTGGCAACCCTTTTATATACTTTATGCTGACATCAGGACTAAAAAGGTGATTTTTATAGATTTGTTTATAGATAAGAGATGGGCTACAAGATAAAGTAATAAATGTTTGTAACCTTAGAGAGGGTGAAGAATCACTAAATTTGTTTACAGTTCTGAGGAAGATTAGATGTTCTTTATATATTTCTTTTCTCTTTATTGCACTTTTCTTTCTTCTCTTTTCTTGCATCTTTTCCTTCTTCCTTCTTCCTATTTTCTTTTCTTTTTTAAATTTAGTTTGCATTAGATTTTACTGTTATGTTCAAAATTCTGAATAAAATTATATATAAAAATTAAAAAATGCCTTACTGAAATCTATCGTGTTTCCCCGAAAATAAGACCCTGTCTTATATTTTTTTGAACCCTGAAATAAGCGCTTGGCCTTATTGCCATGCTCTCATCCCTGATGCCTTATTTTTGGGAAAACAGGGTAGTTATATTGTATCCAGATAATTTCCTTGCTCTACTAATATAGTCACATTATTTAAAAAGAAAAAAAGAAAAGAAAAGAAAAGAAAAGAAAAAGATTAGTTTAGGACATTCTATTTTTAACGAAGTCATTCTGGCTTCTGGCAATCACTTTGTTCCTTTCCAAGAGTTTCCAAATCCAATGTTATCTTCCCCAGTTTTGAAATCAAGCTGATTGGTCTTTAATTATCAATTGTCTCCCTTTTTAAAAAAAGATTGGAACAATATTACCTGTTCTCCAAAGTTCTGGCACTTCTTTTTACTCTATGAGTACTCAAAAATCATAATTAGTATATTATATCCTTCAGCATCGATAATGGAACATAGGCAGCATGGCTTGGAAACTCCCTTGAACATTAGATGAATATGTGAAGGCATTGCCTTTGATTGAATTCTCAGGACAAAATTCAAGGGCAAAAGTTGAAAGTCTTTCTCAATAGGAAACCACCCATTCACCGTGCAGCAACTGCATTTTGAGGATATTGGCATAAAAGATCTCTCCAAGATTGTTTACATTAATTATTTCATTTACTGAATTTATTGTTTAGATGTCTACAGTAGCTTACAATTAAAACCTACTGCCTTAATAGTTTACAATGAAAATAAAGATATCTTCCGCTTTTTCTCTTCTGATTTCAGACAGCACAAGCTCTAACAACTGATTTACAGTTCTCTCTCTTCATGGGATAACTAATGTTTTTGTTGCTTCAGCCATACCCTTGAAATATAATCAGATCCCGGGATCTAAATGGCATCTCAGTGTGTAGATGTCAGTGTTTCTAACATTTCAGTTCCATTTGGTAGCTTTCTGGTAAAGTGTTGTCCTTCTACGGTAATCTTTGTTCTCAGACTTCATTAGCACCGTGAAGCTGTAGTGGATGATAGCTCTTGGCAAGGGCTTCTTATTCCAGTTACTGACATTTCTATTTAGTGGGAATAAATCTCTTCTAGCTGCATTTTCTTCCTTGGGGTGAATTTAATTAAACTCTTAAATGTCAAATACTAGTAAGCAGAAGGAAATCCATATTGACTGGCAGAACGTGTTAGTTACAGTACACGAATGACTGTTTATGTGTTAACACTGAAGCCTGGAATGACTTGCTTTCTGAGTAAACTAATATTAGGAAATACTGTGGAGTCCTTGGCGTTTTCTGAGCTTGGTTATTTTCTTGCAGACATTTCATTACTTGAGTTCTCGGGACTCAGGTATTTTTTGGGATAACCACTTGGGTAATGAAATGTCTGCAAACAAACAACCAAGCTCAGAAAACGCCAAGGACTCCAAATGACATGAGGAAAGTGCCAGAGAAGTCTGTTTAGGACATGCAAAATTTCTTCTGCCCTTTGCCCAACAATCTTTAAACCCCTCTACATCTGCTTTCTCATAAATCTACCTCTAAGTTACTTTCCTTGTTATTCAATGGCTTGTTCTTTGTCAATAATGCCTTCTGATCCTACTATAGAGTGAAATTACTTAAAGACTTCCTGCACCCAGGCATTAAACATTTCTTTTAAGGTATTTACCTACTTTAGCCAATTTCATGCAGATGACCTAGAGTGGTAAGTAATGATAATCTATGAAGGGCAATAAACAGCTGAGGTAAAGACAGCAATAATTTTTACCAGTTGATTGCTAGTCTGCAAATGTTAAAATTAAAAAGATTTAGAAGTCTGTCAACTACACCAACAACTGGTCTATGTATGTCTGGAACTAAATGCATGCCAAAAGCCTAGATAATTTCTTTTCATTATTCTATATAGGCATTACCCTAAGATTTTTTTTTATTTCATTCCCATAGCATTCTCATCAGGTAACTCTAGCCTGAAGAAAATACAGTTGGTAAAAGATTGCTAAAGAACTACTGTAGGATTAGAAGGATTTAATCATCTCACAAGATACTCAAAGAATAAATTTACTAGGCAAATTTCCTTTGACAATTTAATTGATAAGTTTACCAAAATGAGAACAAAGAAAAAAAGTCATTGAGGCAGACTTGTCTTTACATTTTAAATTCATTAATTAGTGTAATAAAGGTTAGATTTGAATTATGTGAATATTTGATCATTGGTGCTCTTTAAAATAATCTTATATAATATCTTTAGTTATTGTAACAATGTATAATTTCCTAAATTTATATTTCCTGTTGCATTCCATTGAGATCTGTTTGAACAATTAATGAATTTGCAGTCATAATAATCAGTGAATTTATCATAAATTAAATATTGCTTATCAAATTATATGTTACATTTATCTGTTTGCAATTTCATGAACTTAAATGTGCTGGAATACATATCGGAGTTTCAATGGAAGAGGAGATAACTGACTTTCTGTTCATCTTCTGTTCACATGATAGCAGTATTTATTTGAGCATAATTTGTTTAAATTGCAGAAATCTAATACTAGACTAACAAGCAACAGCTGTCTCCTGAGTGACGCTCATACACAGAATCCAAGAGACAATAAAAATATTTAGATTTAGTTCCAAAATAATAGAAAATACTCCTGTCATAGAGAGAAATCTGATTTCAAATTCCTCTTACTGTAATAACTGTTGGTTTCCCAGCTGACTGTTGCTCATGTTAAAAACTGCTGACAAGAAAGAAAAAGGCTTGAAGAATGGTCAGAAGATGGGTTGTGAGGCACCTTAGTTGCCATCATAATGAGTCTTCTCCTCAATATTGGACTTCCCAATGTTTTATCTGACTTGGTCTGCATAATACTATATCTTAAATAGCAGGATGCAAAAGCTTCCCTGACTTTATTTCTGCATAGCTATCATAGCTTGATAAATTATTGGAATATTCAGGATCAGAGTTCAGAGTACTTTCACTTTTAAGAACTCAAACAATAGGCATAACATTTTACTCTGCTGTTAGACTAGGATCAGAGTGCTATGTTCTTTGCAACTTGCTTCCAATTAACAGTAAGTGATATATTCTGAACTAATTACAGACCCTGAACTTTCTATATTACGTAAGATGATTTGGAATTGATAATCTTATTTTATTATACATATTTGTGTGTTACAAGTATTAATTTGTATTAATTAATACAATTAATTACTATTAATAGTAATATTACCTGTAAGAGAATTCTATAATACATTTTAGATATCCATTACTATAAAATTTGCTTCTTATGTTTAATTCAAGTTCTCACCGAGAACATAAAGTGTTGTTATTGTTATATCAAAAATAAAATAATGTAATATATTATTATTGATGATGATGATTATTATTATTATTATTAATTTAATTTGTATACCGCCCTTCTCCCGGAAGGGACTCAGGGCGGTGAACAGCCAAAATTAAAAAACATACAAATGCAAAAGTTAAGATAATTAAAAGAATTAAATCATTGGCTACCCAAATTTAAAACCCCAAATCCATAAAATTTAAAATCCCAATTAAAAACCATTTAGGCTAGGCCGGCTTGATGAAATAAAAACGTCTTCAGGGCTTTACGGAAGGTCCGGAGGTCCGGGATCAATCATATTCCAGGAGGCAGCTCATTCCACAGGGCGGGTGCCCCCCACAGAGAAGGCTCGCCCCCTGGGGGCCGCCAGCCGACATTGCCTGACCGACGGCACCCCGAGGAGGCCCTCTCTGTGAGAGCGTATTGGCCGGTGGGAGGTTATCGGTAGCAGCAGGCGGTCTCGCAAATACCCTGGCCCTAAGCCATGGAGCGCTTTAAAGATGAGAACCAACACCTTAAAGCGCACCCGGAAGACCACCGGGAGCCAATGCAGCTCGCGCAGGAGAGGTGTTACGTGGGAGCGCCACGTCGCTCCCATAATCACCCGCGCAGCCACATTCTGCACCAGCTGGAGCCTCCGGGTGCTCCTCAGGGGGAGCCCCATGTAGAGAGCGTTACAGTAGTCCAGGCGTGACGTAACCAAGGCATGAGTGACTGTGCACAAGGAGTCCCGATCCAGAAAGGGGCGCAACTGGCGTATCAGGCGAACCTGATAAAAAGCCCCCCTGGCCACGGCCGTCATATGCTCTTCTAAAGACAGCCGTGTGTCCAGGAGGACGCCCAAGTTGCGAGCCCCCTCTGTGGGGGTCAGTGACTCGCCCCCAATAGCCAGCGATGGCACCAGCTGGCTATACCGGGACGCCGGCATCCACAGCCACTCGGTCTTGGAAGGGTTGAGCCGAAGCCTGTTCCTCCCCATCCAGACCCGCACGGCCTCCAGACACTGGGACATCACTTCGAGGGCATCATTGGGGTGGTCTGGGGTGGAAATGTACAGCTGAGTGTCATCAGCGTACAGATGGCATCGCACCCCAAAACCACGGATGATCTCACCCAGCGGCTTCACATAAATGTTGAACAGGAGCGGCGAGAGGACCGACCCTTGCGGCACCCCGCAAGCAAGGCGCCTCGAAGTCGACCTCTGCCCCCCTGCCAACACAGACTGCGACCGGTCAGAGAGATAGGAGGAGAACCACCGCAACACGGTGCCTCCCACCCCCAGTCCCTCCAGCCGGCGCAGCATGATACCATGGTCGATGGTATCAAAAGCCGCTGAGAGGTCTAACAGGACCAGAACAGAGGAACAACCCTTGTCCCGAGCCCTCCAGAGATCATCCACCAATGCGACCAATGCCGTCTCCGTGCTGTACCCAGGCCTGAAGCCGGACTGGCACGGATCTAGATAGACGGTTTCATCCAGGAACTGTGGGAGCTGGCGCGCAACCACACTCTCCACAACCTTCGCAACAAAGCGAAGGTTGGAGACCGGACGATAGTTTGCCAAAATGGCTGGGTCCAGAGAAGGCTTCTTGAGGAGGGGCCTCACCACCGCCTCTTTCAAGGCGGGAGGCAAGAAACCCTCTCTCAGAGAAGCATTTATGATCCTCTGGAGCCAGCCTCGTGTTACCTCCCGGGTGGCCAGTACCAGCCAGGAGGGGCACGGGTCCAATAAACATGTGGTTGCATTTAATCTCCCCAGGATCCTGTCCACGTCCTCAGGAGTCACAGGGTCGAACTCATCCCAGGTAACATTCTCAAGACCAGCCTCAGTCACCCCGCCGGGATCTACCCAGTCAGAGTCCAAGCCTTCCCGAATCTGAGCGATTTTATCGTGCAGATACTGTGCAAAATCCTCAGCCTGCCCTTGCAAGGGGTCCTCCCGTGCTCCCTGATGTAGGAGGGAGCGGGTCACCCTAAACAAGGCGGCTGGGCGGTTATCTGCCGATGCAATAAGAGCGGAAAAGTGGTTACGCTTTGCCGCTTTTATCGCCACTAGATAGGTCTTAATATGAGACCTAACTAGTGTTCGGTCGGATTCGGAGCGACTCGCCCTCCAACCACTCTCTAGGCATCTTCTCCGGCGCTTCATCTCCCTCAGCTCCTCGGAAAACCAAGGAGCCGGGCAGGTTCGGCGTCGGGTCAGAGGCCGCAAAGGCACGACTCGGTCCAGAGCACCGGCGGCTGTCCTATCCCAGGCAGCCACCAGATCTTCAGCCGAGTCGTGTGCCAGAGTTTCAGGAACTGGCCCAAGCTCCCTCTGGAACCTATCAGGATCCATCAGGCGCCTGGGGCAGAACCACCTGGTCGGTTCCGCCTCCCTGCAGTGGGGTGCAGCGGTCGAAAGGTCCAGTCTCAGGAGAGAATGGTCCGACCATGACAGGGGTTCAATAACTATATCCCCTATATCCAGACCACTCCGCCACTGACCAGAGATAAAAACCAAGTCCAGAGTGTGTCCTCCCGCGTGAGTGGGGCCATGAATTAATTGTGTCAGGTCCATGGCTGTCATGGAAGCCATAAACTCCCGAGCCATCCCAGATGCCCCACCGGTAGATGGCAGGTTGAAATCCCCCATGACCAAAAGTCTGGGGGTATCAACCGCCACCCCGGCAATAACGTTGAGAAGCTCGGGCAGGGCCGCTGTCACGTGGCAGGGAGCCAGGTACGCGATCAGCAGGCCCACCTGCATCCCATGGCCCCACTTCACCAGGAGAGACTCACATCCGGCTATCTGAGGTACAGTGGCCTCCCTCGGATCAAGACCTTCCTTTATAACGACCGCCACCCCCCCACCCCTGCCCTGGGCCCTTGGCTGATGGAATGCGCGGAAACCTGGTGGGCACATCTCTACGAGGGGGACCCCCCCTCTTGGCCCAACCAGGTCTCCGTAATACCTGCCAGGTCCGCACCCCCCTCCTGTATTAGCTCACAAATGAGGGGGGCCTTATTAACCACGGACCTGGCGTTGCACAACATCAGTCTAAGGCCTGGGCTCTGAGACTCTGGACAGCCGGGGAAACGAGAAGAGTCATGGGGGCCGAGGCATGCCACCGCTTGGAGATAGCGGGTGCGTGTCCCCACCACCTGATGTGGCCCCCTACTCCCGCCATATCTGCCCCTCCCAACCACGGTCCTGATAGAACTGCCCTCCACCCTATCCACACTGAGCTCCTCCACACCCCGCTGTTTTCTTGTTGTTGTTGTTATTGTTGTTGTTGTTGTTGTTATTATTATTATTATTATTATTTGCTTTCAGATTATTCCATGGACAAACTATATGAAAAACAATGATCAATAATAAATTAATTCAGGAACTATATTCAGCAGCTCCTAGAATAAGACAAATGCATTTAATGTGTTTCTTATAGCAGTATCTTGGGAATTAATGATTTTATAGTAAAAAGGAAGGAAAGATGAATGACATACTTAATGATATTGGGGAGTATCCTTATGTTGAGAATAAATTCCCAGTGAGAATTTTTTTAAAAAATATATATAAAATATACTGTACCTTAGTATTTTCTAAATCTCTGTGTTCTACCATCTCTGTGGCTCTGCTACATGTTTCTTATTGTGAAGAATTATTCCTTCTATATGAGAAACATGTGCTCCATTAACTTATTTTTGATATTTTTCTTATCTATTTGATGGGTTCAAGAGGTAGGTCTAGAATTTTATTTCTTGACCTGTAAGTTTGGTTGAAGCAAAATATCACTTTTCTCACTCCATTGAATATGCATCACCAGTTGTCATTTCAAGATTAAGACCGTTCTCTTTCTTACTTTCATATGATCTCAGGAAGGCAATAAAATGAGAGTTTATCCTAATTGTGGTAATTCCCCGGTATCAGTTAAATATTTAACTTCAAAAGATACATAGTAACTATTTTCATCTCTAAACTATAAATGCACTAGATGAATTATAATAATTGCAATATATTGTTCAAATCAGCTGGCTCACAGATGACTTTTCCATATTTTTATGCTACTTGGAATTCTCTTTCTAGGCCAATTTTGCCAACTTCCTGCTTTCGGGCAGATGTTTTGGTCATTATAAAAATAGAAGCCAACCTATTTTTTCCAGCAATAACTGATTTACCCAATCTTCTCTTTGTGTGTACAATAACAGTGTACTTGCAATCTGATTTATATCTATCAATCAGTATATGTCATAAAAGCATTTGCCTAGTTTGGATGGAAGCAAAATATTTAAAAACTCACATTTGCAAGTAAATGAAATGTACTATGTTTTAGTATTATGCCAGTACTGAAGTTGTGAGACAGATTACTATAATACAAAAATGTCATAAAATGTGACTCCTATGGAATTACCAGAACTATTTAAGGTTATTCAAACCAAAGTAGCCTTCCAATTGCATGGAGCCATAAAAAGTTGTTTCTAAATGATTCTGCTGAACATTTCATATCAGGTTGATGTTGATGTACACAGCTGGCTAGATATGTAGATCTGGAAATTTTGATCATCAGTGTTACCACATTTTTTTGGAACTTAACCATCTGATTACCGGTATGTCCTAATTGTGTGCAACAGGTGAGTTGATTCTAGTAGCTCAATCCAGAAAGAAAAATATTTTCCCATGAAAATATGGGAGAAAATTCTGTACTGATTCTTATTTAGATAACCTGTAGTAACACTATTATAGACTTTGGGTAACATATATCACATTCAAATAACAAGCTCACATTAACAAGTACAAGAATTAGAGAAAGAGAAAATGGCACTGATGCACATAAAGCCAAACTCTTCATACATCTCTGCTGTAAATTAAATTAAATTATTGGTGCTGCCTAATTTCTGGAATCTGTCCCCAGTGTTCCAGTCAAAAGTCAAATATAAAAGTCGAACCTTGATCTAAAATATATTGTCCATCATTGCATTTCAGGGATTTAGAGTGGATGACATACTAAGACTGAGGATATTTTGAGGTAATTTTGCTCCTCATGTACGTACATGTGCACCTTTTCTTTTGAATAAATACTTCATATTTCTCCTAGGTTTCCTGGAATGCAAAATGATTATATGTGCACAAGTTGTTCTTTATTTAATTTGCAATAGTTGAAGTTTGGAATATCTAGCCAATTCTCTCTATGATCAACTAGTATATGTAGCATTATTTTTTCTATTTTTTTTTTCTATTAAAACAATACTGTGAATCATTGCATCAGACAATTGTAAGGAACCTGAGAGGGTTATTCCTTCCCCAGCCAGGACAAGAATCCTCAGACCATCCTAGACAAATGACTATCAAATTTTGCTTAAACGCAGCTATGATTTCAAGAGGTAGGTTGTTCCAATATTTAATACTTCTTCCGGGCCTCCTTATTTTGAATTTTAATCTTTCCCAATGAAGCTACTTATTGGTTCTACTCTCAGAAATTATGAAGAATAAATCCATGCCCTCCTCTCTATGACAGCCCTTCAAGTATTTGAGGATTATTATCTAGACTCCAATCAGTTTTCTCTTCTTTAGGATACACATAGGATACACAAAGAAGAGAAAACTGAATGGAGTCTTGATAATCGTCCTCAAATACTTGAAGAGTTGTCACAGAGATGACGATATGGATTTAAATATTAAATAGTTATTTCCATTAACTATTCTTTGTAGAATTAAGACTTCAAACCTCTTAACATATTTGCCACTCTTCCCTTGTACTCTTTCCAGTTTCTTAACCTCCTTATTGCATTGTGACAACCAGAAGTAGATATACTATTCTAGGTATGGTTTGACCAATTAGCATAAATCTGGAACTATCACTTGCTGTGATCTGAACACCGTAACTCTTTTGATGCTGCCTAAGATTGCATAAATGTTTGGTAGTTACACATTGTATACTCATACTTAAATTTGAAGCCTAACACAGGTCCTTCCCATAAGTACTACAGATAAATTATGTACCACATATCTTCTCATCATAAGGACATTTGGTCTGAGAGTGAGTGACTGGTACAGTCACCAATGATTTTCCATGGGTGACTGAACTTAAATCTTTAATCTATACAATCCTAGGCCAACCTTTCACAAAATACACTGACTCTCATATATGCTTTATATATTTATTTATTTATCTTTATTTATGCTTATAATTTCATAATTTATAAGTTAGTGGCACTCTAAGTATTTTTGCTTGTTGTCTAACAGTCTCCCCTGTTATATGACGGACATTCATTATTTTCATTCACTGCTGTCCACAGCTGTATTCCACAGCTATCAGAACATATTTAAAGCTGAACAGCTAGTGTGAAGGCAGGGGACAGTATGTTGGATTAAGATAAGAAACTTTGGGGCTTAAATCATTATTCATACTTACATTTGCTAGCAAGTCGCACACATTCAGCATAGTCTTTGTAATAAGATTGTAGTACAGATAAGGAGTCTGTAGGCAGCTCCAGGAGGTTTTCAGAGGAAGGTGAATAATTAAGAGAATCCTGTTTCAGTACTTCATATAACACAACGTTATATATCAAAATGATATATTAATTTCTACACACAATTATATAGACCTGTGAAATACATTTAATCAGCATCTGTGTATTTATACTGTTAGCTTCTTAGCACTCTTTAATTGTTGTATCTGTTTACATTGAAAAAAAATAAGTGTAGATTTGTTTATGTTAATATGAAATCTGTTAATTATATACTTATTGTTATTTGTTCATACTTCTTACATGACGTTTCAATAAGCATTTTTAGTAACTGCTTTAATTAGATTTCATTTACACTTAATTATTGCTTTTTTGTTTGTTCTACCTCCTCCTCATTTTATTACATCAATTTATGACTATTGTATCTGATGGTACAGTAGAAATAGACTTTCATAGAAGAGCTGAAGGTAAACACAACTGTCTCTAATGGCTTCTGTAATATTTTAGGAAAATTATCAAGAAATATAGTAAAGGTCTCATATGAACATAAGAACTTTAAAAAAATATAAAGAGACAACACATTATGATCTCTAGAGGATTTGCTGATTTATGCTGGTCTTCTACAGAAGCTATATGGAATTGTCCAAGAAGAATACTACAAAACAAAGTCATTCTCTGAACACAGTAGTAGTGCAAATATTTTGCCTGACAGAGATTCAACTCTTGAAATTTGGAAAACAAAGCAAAACAAAACTTCTACCTGAACTTTGGAGAAGTGTTGCCACACAATATAGAGGTTGTTGTAACTTTATTTAACCTGGCACACTAGATGGTGGGGAATACAAAGGATTATTGTATCTCAGGATAGGCTTGATGAAAAGTGCCTTTTTATGGGTTACAAACTAAGGAACACAATCTTTATTATAAAAAAATCAGCAGGAAGCTATTCTTCCCCATACTTTTTCATTTTGTTGTTAATATATGTCCTTATTGTGAGTCCTACAATAGTTCTATTAATGTCAGAAAATATTATAAGCCATAACATTACCTCCTCCATCAGTTTTACTTCTGTTGCCTTCAGAAGAATTGAAGAAAAGTAGCAGGGAGTATATGTGACACCTTCTGCCCCTTCTATATTCTACAAGTTCAAAATTGACCAAATTTCTACCCTAAAAAGCAGGATAGAAAAAAGGAGGGGGGCAGGAAATATCTCAGTGCCATCAATATTGACTGTTAGCTTAATAGCATACATACTGTTCTATTGTGCCATTTCCATGCTAATTAGAATTACCTGCTCTAAAATAAAGATGTGTGGAGCAAGTAAGTTCAAAAAGGATAATTGGGTACAGTCTAATCATCAGTTCTAATCAAGATGCTAGAGTCCCCATAAATGATTCTAAGTCATAGGAAAGTGACTTGTGGACAGTAAATAAAAACATTTAGAGGTAATAGCAATAAATATTCAACAGCTAGATTACCTAATCCTGGGATTAGAATGAACCATTTACATCTGACTCATCTAGAGCAATTTTGGAATTGTGTTTCATCCAGGGGCGGATTCCAAGTCCCGTTGCTACCGGTTCGTTCGTGTGCGTGTGTGTGCTCATGTGCATACGGGCCACTTCTGCGCATGCACAGAAGTGTCTGGGCGGGTGGCCTGATCCAGTGCGAACTGGTAGCAACCCACCACTGGTTTCATCCATTAAAATAAATGGGAAAGAAAAGACATTCACCAAACACGTGGTGGTATAAAAATGGTATAGTACTGTTGATGGAAGCATGTCCTTGAATTGAAACTGTACATTATTTGCATTCTTACTCCATACCACTTCTCATTTATTTGTGATTAACTCTTGCACCAGTGCTTTTCATGTTAGAACAAAGTAGTAACATAAAGTTTCAGTAACATATCTAAAGTATTCCAGTAGCATATCTGGTATTGATCACAGGTCATGGGGCATGTACTGAATCTTGTACTTCTCACTAAATGGACAGAATTTCAACATAAGACTTTTCAGCATAGGATTGAGTCTTTTATAGTATTAAACTCAACATTTTTGTTCTAAGTTGACTGACTATGTTTGTAGTCTAACTGATTAAGTTGACTGTAACAACCCTCACTTCCTCTAACTCCTCTATTTATAACAAACAAAGCTGGTTATGAAGCTTTGCTGTTCTGCATATTTATTATAAGGATCTTAAAACAGAAACATACATCTTTATACTTTTTTCAGCTTGATACTTGGTTTGAAATGTATCTTTGAAGGCGAAGCAGAAGACAATGAACCTCCTTTTTCAGAGCCAGTCTGCATTGATTCTCTAATCTTCAAAACATTTAGTCCTGATGCATTTGGAAAAGATGAAGGGAAAAACAGCTTGTGTCAGTATTCAATTGTTCTGCAAGAACACCACAATCTTATAGCATTTGATATATAATGGTGGTAGGCCAAAACCACAGAATAATTTGGATACACACTGTCTGATAATTGTCATCTCTTTGGCAAAACAGTACTGCATTTGTACAGTTCATTCTTCTTTGCTGATGACCTTCATTCAGAAAAGAAGGTTGAGTAGAAAAGGAGTTAGCTTTTTATTTTTGTCTATCACATGTTCCCGATTAATAGCCAGAAATGTTAAGAACCACCAGAACAGTAGAGAATCAGTTATTTCAAAATCTTAATGGACACATTGGCTGCAACTTCCTTGAAGAGCTCTGAAAACAATGATGCTAACAGTTTATTCACTGGATTACAATTCAGAAAAATGTTTTCTTTCTAAAATAATAATAATTCAATTTGTTAATCTCGGATGCTGTGTATCTACTTAAACAAATATGTCAGATGAAGCAAAGGGAAAGAGAAGGGAAGGGAAGGGAAGGGAAGGGAAGGGAAGGGAAGGGAAGGAAAGGAAAGGAAAGGAAAGGAAAGGAAAGGAAAGGAAAGGAAAGGAAAGGAAAGGAAAGGAAAGGAAAGGAAAGGAAAGGAACTCTAAATTTACTTCATCTTCAGTTCAGAAATTCATTCATATATAAAATTTTATTTAATGGTAGCAAAACAGCCCTTTCAAAAATATCTATAGAACAAAATGATAATTTCCATTTAACTAAAAGAAATAGTTATAAATAATCCTCCCAATGTACCTGTTTTTGCTTATAAATGTGTCAGATAAACCAGCATATTCTGCGAATTTACTGCACATTGCTGTAATCTGATCTATCAGCAATTCAGCAGAGCTGCTGACACATGCCCTCCTCCATAAAAAAATTTCAAAGCCACCCACAGACTAACCATATTGCTGTCAAAAACTGCATATAAAACACACAGTCTGCTTTACCAAAGGACACAGAAAAGCTAATCAGTCCAGTCCAGACATTCAATATATGTTAGTGTATTAGGAAAAAGTTCAGAAACAGAATGGATATATTGTCTATTTTCACAAAAGTGGACAGGTTCCTTTGCTATATAAAACAAATAACTGAAAGGAACAAGTTGTTCCTTATGCATTTTAAGAAAAAAATATGCATCTTAAGAAAATTGTAACTCAGTTCTAATCAAAGTTAAGTGTTTAGTAAATATTTTAAAGACTGTATTTTCAGTGTCTATTAAAAGAACATCTCTGAAGTGCTTTTATCTGCAGACATTATGCAACCATATGAAAACAGTTGCCTCAGATCTTGCCTCGTGTTTTTGTCAGCTGAGAAGACTGTTTAATACAATTTTTCTCAACCTTGGCACCTTTAAGATATATGGACTTCACTATATGGCTGGAGAATTCTGGGGGCTGAAGTCCACATATCTTAAAATTGGCAAAGTTGAGAAACACTGCTTTAATGTATTAACTAGAGTTTTCTTAGGAGAAATGGAAATGCAACCAATGTCTTCAGATCAATAAATATTTTACCTAAATGGGGGAAAGAAGGAAAATATGGCCTCTACTGGCCATAACACAATTTGTGATGCACCCTGTGATTACGCTTCTACTAATAGGGCTATATTGGCAATGATTGCAAATGCCCAGAATCCAGGGTCATAATCTTACTAGGTTATTACCTAAGTGATACAATTATGGTAGATGTGTACTATGGAATTTGTACTGTGAGACATGGATTACAACTCTGAAAGCGTGTAAATAATTTTAAGAAGGCAGATCAAGAGTAGAAAAATAGGAATTGCTATTATTTGTCTGTAACTGGAAACTTCTAAAACCAAGATGGAGCCAGGGGCAAACAAATTACAGATGGACATATTGGAGCAAATGAGGTACAATTTTGATATAAATCTGTTCTTGTCAGATTAGTGGAATAAGTGCATTCTTTCATTTTGGTTAGTGAGAAAGAGTTATACATCAAACAGATTGTGAGAGAAATTTTAGCAGTACTCTCAAGTTGTCCTATTATCTTAGTACCATTTGCCTTGGCTAAGCCTTTTGCTTCAAATTTGCTACAATCAAAACATGTCCCTATACATTATGCCAGTATTTCTCAGTCTCACCAATGTTAAGGTGTATGGACTTCAATTCCCAGAATCACAAAAATTATCTTTTATGAAGCTAGATCATACTGTATGTGAAATGAATTGGTACAATAGCACAGAATGTGTATGCACAATATACTTTAAACATCTACGTAATCTAAAACTGTTAAAAATGTTTTATCAACAATTCAAACCATTGGAAACTGTATGGATGAAGGTGAGTAGGTGGGTATTACATACATAGCTTTCACTGGATAAAGAGAAGAAGAGGACTATGAAATAACAAGTCTTCCTTCTGACGAATAAAATCTTATTACATATCTAATAAGATTTTAGAAAAAGTAGGATGTTTACTATGGTGGTTTAACATGAAAGGTGTGGAACAAAGGAAGAAATTGATGTAGCAAAATCTTCAGGTAAGGGAATGTGACATTCATAAAAGATAATAAATCAGGATCTAGACCTGATAAAATCTCATACCCAAATGAACGAAGCAATGTCAGGTAATTTGTTTTGACTATTCAATCCTTGAGAAGGATCCCTTTCAGAGATACATGGCTGACACTTTCTAATCAAGTTAAATATCTTTACAGCTTTGGAGACTTCAGGACTGTATTGAAGATAAATGAATTGACAAAGAAAAGGAACTTGGAAATGACCTCAGACAGCAAATTAACCTTGATACATTCAGAACAGTAACCTAATACAGTTACAATTTTATTCCTGATCTTTTGTATTTGCCTTTAATATGAACAATTCATCAACAGATATGACGGTTCATGCATTTAAAAAGTAGAAATCTGCAAAAGAGTTTGGACATTGCACTTTCCACCTAAATGAAAAATGAAAACACTACTGATCTAATTTCAAGAATTGCCATTATTAACAACCACCATACCTGCTCACCCATCCTTCAACAAATAAACATTATACTTAATAGAATAAGTACATACATCATCCCAGTTTCACATATGCTAAATCTCATTTATGAATATTTTCTTTCCCTTATTAATGAAAAGCTTTGCTGTAATGACTTTGCAGGATAAACAACAGTTTTTGAAAATCAACAGTCTAACAAGATGGAATTATAATTTCCTAGTATTGCTGAGAAAATGCAGGTGTTAATGTGATAATTTATGTAAGTGTGAAATATGGCATCTTTACTGTATGGATTGATCATGTAAACAGTTTTTTTTTCATTATAACATTGAGCATTATTGCTTTATTAAAAGGTTTATTAGTATAACAGGACCCCTCTTTCCATGTCCTCAACATCCTACATATTGGACAAACTTTTAGTGCAGTGCTGGGTCCTATACTACTGTATCCTACATGGGCGCAAAAAGATATTTAGTTTCAACACAAGAAAAATAGTAGTAATATTGTTAAAGAAACATGGTTAACATGTATGCCCTTGGTCTTTTTGCCTGATATGTTGTACAGAGCCTAGACTTATATCAAGACATTTTCCATCAGCATTAGCTATAAGCATTACCTATGTTTCTTCTCCGGTGTTCACCAAGAAAAGAGAAACAATCCTTTCTGCTGAAATGGTTTTACATCTTTCCTATTAACATGTTTCCTTCCGTATTCTATGTTCAATTGGTCTCTTGTCTATTCCTGTGTTTTTAAAAGAGATTTACAAAGCTTTAGAAATATTGCAGAAATATTTCAGCAAGACATTCATAGGTGACCTCATATCCCTGCAAGGCACAGCTGCCACTTCATCTGTTTGGTGCTATCAGAGGAAACAGTGAACATCAGGCACCATTGAAGATAACAAGCAATTGTTACATTCATTGTAAGAAAAAGAAATGTTAGCTGTTTGTAGCTTTTCAAAACCTCTTCTCTTATCATTCTTATTCTTGTTCCTCTAAGTGTAGTATTTACATTATAAATATAATGTTGATCCAGATCCATTTTGAAAAGTACTGTGATATTCTCTTACTGAACACAATAATGAAGGATGTGTCTGTGTTCTAATGTACCACCAGTTTCCACCAGCTGGTAGCATTTTTTTTTCCCTACTCCTATGAAGGGCCTGCTTTAAAATGGTGGTGGTGATTGACTTGAAGAGGAAAGCCTAGTCTGCACATTCAAGGAATATTGGACTAGAACTCATACAGCTTATTCCAATCTAAAGTAAGAGCTAGCAGAAGGCTGAACCAATTTTTAGGATTATCCATAAGTATGTGTATCTTGGTCAGAAGCTGTTCATTAGCCTATTTAAGAAGGTTAAAGAAACCTTTGGGTGGTGCCTAGTAATAGCATTCCAAATTTGAATATGAAAAAAACCCTTTGGAATTCGAGACATACAATACAAATGCAAAGACCTAATAATTCATATAAGATAAACAAACACGGATCAGTCAGGACAAAGAATGCACTTCATTCACAACACTTCTTATTTCCCAACTCACTAAATTCCAATTTATAGCAATTTTCTCATGCCTTTCTGTAACCACAAAGTTGTGACAACTTTCTCTGAAACTTGCCATCTTTTTGTGTTTCTGAATATATTTCTTCACTCATTCATGCCAACATCCCTGAGTTTTGCTAAACATACATTGCTTGCCATTTTCCACTCTATTCTATAAGGATAGTACTTTTACTTACATGAAAAAATAAAAATAAACTTTATTATCATCAGCTAAATCGGACCCAATTTCTTATGCAAAGAGATCTTTGAAATACATAACTTTAATTAAAAGTAAATAAGTTGATAGTTTATATCTTCCACAAACTTGTACTTGCCTTTAAACTTTTCCATAATTACTGCTTGTAATAGACTATCTTTATATATAGTGTATTTAGAAATAAAAATATCCTGTGATTCTTTTTCTAAATTAAAAATGCATTCTGTACTAAAATACACACTTGGCTAATCTAAGCAAAGTTGTGAGTCATCATCTTTATTATACTGTAGATGTCAATCCTGAAGCTTACTTGGCCGAAGCCATCTTGGAGCTTCAGTGCTGCCACTGGAGCGAGGGATAGGGATTAGAGATAGTTGGGGCTGTGTATTCAAAATAAAATACTTTCTATTGGGAACTAAGGATGTTCTCACACCTGGCCAGAGGAAGGAGGAGTGATGTCACCAGACCAGCGGACGCTGCCTTGATTGGGCCATATGACTGATTGGTTGGGGTTGAAGGAAAAACTTTTAATTAGGTGAAAACCAAGGGGCCCCTCAGAGTTGGTTTTCACCAGATATGTGCCAATATGATATTTCCAATAAAGCTATTTTTTAAGGAATTCACCTGCCTCGGAGTCTTTGCTTGCAATGGATCTATTACTTGGAACCCTGACAGTAGATATGGAGTATACACAAACATCAAACCAAAATTATTTGAGACAAGCTACCTGGTTAGTCCTCTTACTCAAAATCTCTGCTGTTGAGAAAGGATACTTTCTTCAGCCTGCCTTCCTATGAAATAGGCATCTGCCCTTACCTGTAATAAAACTATTCTCATATCTATAAAAGCCACTTGCAAGTTAATTCAGCTGTGCAACTAAAGGAGTGCTTGCCAATAAGATAACAGTCTAGCTGAATTTAATAAATAAAATATTGAGTGATGGATTTCACTACTAGAAATAATATTTATTACAACTGAACTTAATTAACAAAATATTTAATGATAGGCCTCACTAATATAAATATTTATTACAATAAGTAGAACTAGCACCTCTCCTACAATTGAAACAGATTCCTATATATAAAAAAGGTGAGGTTGATGATCCTTCCAATTATTGCTCTATTCCTTTACTATCTACAGTAGGAAAGCCGTATGCCAGATTTTCAATAATGGACCAATCCATTGCCTAATATATCAATCAATCATTACTTTCAAACGCCCAAGTGGGTTTTAGATAAGCTGTTCAAGAATGGATCAATATCTGATATTACTTATTTGTTGGAGAAGCACTATGGTCTCTTAAGAAAAAAAAATATTTACAGAGTTTCTGGAAGTTAAGGTCTATATTTAAATCTGTTTATATTTAAATAATATTTATATTATTATATTATTTATATATATTAAATATATATCTGTATTTAAAATTTATGGTTAAAACTAGAGACAGTTCCCTAGAGAAGCAATTAATTCTTTTCAACAGGATAACAAATGAGTAAGGATTCCTATTTATTTATTTAATATGTCTACTTATTTCAAGCAATGACTTTGGGTGACATACAGAGTTTATAGAAAATTAAACCAACAACAAAAACAAATATCCCAAGTCAAAAATAGCTTTCCAATTCATAAGAAAGAAACACAGCAATAAAACCAGTAAAACTCATCCTTTCAGCCTAAATGCCTGAGGGTGCATAATAGTGTTTACTATCTTGGCTGAAGTCTAACAGCGTTGGGGCCACCCAGATCTTGTGATGCTGTTTGAAAGCGAAGGCACTACAACATAGAAAGCACCTATTTTGTTGCCTGCTGTTTTCTTCATTTAAAATTTGCACCCCAGACTGCAGAAAATACACTCATAGCATCACAAATCGTCACAAAGCATCACAAAGCATCTTCTACCTGCATTAACAGATTACCTCTGATAAATTTAGGAAAATTAAAGATCATGGTTTTTGAGGGGATTTATTTATTTATTTAGCGTATGGCTGGTCACACACAATATTAAAACACTTCATTTTTACAGGTTAAAACAATTAAAACAATTAGAAAAAGAGCAGTAAGAAAACCTAAGAGGAAAACAGAAATAACATTTCAGAGTTTAATGTCGAGTTTGGAGATCCAGTCAGTAGCTGTGGTTGTTACGTAGAGGAAATCCCTAAAATCTCCTGGATACCTTCTGTTAGAGCATTCCCTCACTATATGTTGGATAGTCTGTCGGGGGCCCCCGCAATCGCATTGTGCTGAAGGTGTCTTTCCCCATTTATACAAGGAGTCAGCACACACCCCATGAGTCATTCTAATTCAATTGTATGTCACCCATATGTGTACGGGTGGATTAAATCCTGGAGGTATACTATTAGGATTAATATGCTCAGAAATATCTTTGAGGGGAAAAATATCACCATTTGTAGATCAATTGCCTATAACCATCTAGAGGACAGGTTAAAGGCTTCATCTATCTAGGAATATTCAGCACCTTTTATCATTTCCCATGTCCTTTTCCATATTCCCATTTTCCCAGGGTAGCTTTGTACTCTAGAGAATTGAAGTTCACTCTGTCAGCCTTTTTTAGCTTTTTCTACTCTGAAGGTAGGCAATTCATTCTGGTTTAAATGCTAAATTACTATTGTAACTTCTTTGTGGAACCTAAATTTATTAAGACAGCCTTTAAAGAGTTGGATAGTCCTAAATAGTCTTCAGGTTACCTTCATATAAAAGAAATCCAGTCTGGCTATTTTTTAAAACAATCTTTTCATTTCTCAGTAAGCAAAGATTATCTTGATTCAGAAGCAAGTATAGAAAGCTGATTCATATTACTTGGTATGGAAGTTTAATTAATTATATTCTATATGGACTTTTCTTTAAATAGTCTTATTTATAGTAGAAATCAGATCAATTCTGCCATGGACAGATCAAATATCCTATTACCACATATAGGGAACGTGAGTTTGAGGCAGAGGTGAAATCCAGCAGGTTCTGACAGGTTCTGGAGAACCGGTAGCAGAAATTTTGACTAGTTCGGAGAACCGACAAATACCACCTCTGGCTGGCCCCAGAGTGGGGTGGGAATGGAGATTTTGCAGTATCCTTCCCCTGGAATGGGGTGGGAATGGAGATTTTGCAGTATCCTTCCCATGCCATGCCCACCAAGCCATGTCCACCACGCCACACCACGCCCACCAAGCCACAACCACATAACTGGTAGTAAAAAAAATTGGATTTCACCACTGGCTTGAGGGATTCTTTTTCACACAATGGTCCAGTCTTAGTAATAAGAAGTAGGGAGTATAAGAATTTGTGCAGTATATTCTGCATATTCATATCTCCAGAATCTTTCCAGGATCTGGAGGTCCAGGGTCTCTCTAGGATCTGACCTGGTCTATAATAAAAAAGATGCCAGGCAAATCTGATACGATTATGACTATGTTTTTGGTTTCTAATCAGGATTCCAAGGTGACTTTTCAAAGCCAAATTTTTGGTAGTTGTTATCAAACTAAAAATGAAGCTAGTGAATTAGTTAAGAATGGATGGATTTAATTTTCTGATATTTTGCTAACAGGCAACCAATATGAAAGGTTTACCATCTAAATGTCTTCTTCTCCCCTCTCTG